TGCATATGTAATTAACTCCCATACTTATTATAATGCTTATTACAAAAATCATACTTTGCTTGTCTTTAACGCTCCTAATTTTTGTAAATGTTCTACTGCAGAATGACGGAACAGATCCCTTCCAACCTAACAGCGAGTATTTACCGGTAATAGCTGAGGTATATATACTACAATCAGTTATTAGTTTGCATATTGGTTATTCAAGTTGATTGAATTATGAAAATACTAATACACTGCATGCACAATAGGCCACAGAGCGTCTGAAAGAGGCTGTCAGAGAGATCAAAGGTGCCAGTGTGGAAAACAATAAGTTCTGCGTTTCTGTGCACTACCGGGAAGTTCGCAGGGAAAAGGTAAAACTGAAACTCAAGTTTTAACATTGTTGCCTCGCTATATTGAGAAAATCCATCTCACGTTTGGCCTCCCTTTTTGGCAGGATAAGGACTTACTTAAGAACATCGTGATGAGAACTGTAACAGAAGAATTTCCTGATCTCAAGGTGACCAACGGTAAAAAGGTAAGTGGAGTTAGAGGAAATCGCACAAATACACAATATTTGGGGCTGATCTAACACAAAACCACAACTCTAGGGAATTTTAACTGATACCCACAAGTCTTCTTTTTTCAAGAAAAAGATACCCACAAGTCTAGGACAAAGTAGTGATGGTAGTCACACTATTTCTCTCACCAGCCACTTAAAAAAGTACAACAACAAAGCCTTTTAGTCCCAAACAAGTTGGAGTGGCTAGAGTTGAAACCCATAAGATCTCGTGCATCTTTGCAATACCTAACTGTTGGACATGTCGCCTTTTGGTTAGCCAACATTCAACGCCATACAACATCGCATGACGAATCGTCGTCATATAGAACCTGCCTTTTAGCTTTTGTGGCACTCTCTTATCACAGAGGACGCCAGAAGCTTGGCACCACTTCATCCATCCAACTTTGATTCGATGGCGGACATCTTCATCGATATCACCATCCTTCTGCAGTATTGACCCGAAACATCGAAAGGTATCCTTTTGAGATACCATATGCCCATCAAGGTTAACCTCCTCCCCATGCCTAATAGTATGAAAACCACACCTCATGTACTTAGTTTTAGTTCTACTAAGCCTAAAACCTTCGATTCCAAAGTCTGTCTTCACAGCTCTGACTTTGTATTAGCCCCCCTCCGACTAGTACCACATCATCCGCAAAGAGCATACACCATGGGATATCTCCATGTAATCCGTTGTGGCCTCATCCATCACCAAAGAAAAAAAAGGCAAGGGCTCAAAGCTGACCCTTGGTGCAGCCCTATTTTATTGGAAAGTCATCAGTTTCTCCATAACTTGTTTGTACACTAATCACAACATTATTGTACATGTCCTTGATGAGGGCAATGTACTTTATTGGGAATTCGTGTTTCTCCAAGCCCTACCACATGACATTTTGAGGTATCTTATCATAGACCTTCTCCAAGTCAATGAACACCATATGCAAATCCTCCTTTTGCTCCATGTATAGCTCAATAAGTTGTTGTACTAAGAAAATGGCTGCCATGGCCGACTTTGGAGGCATGAAACCAAACTGATTTTTGGTCACGCTTATCATTCTTCTTAAGCGGTGCTCAATGACTCTCTCCCATAGCTTCATTGTATGGCTCATCGGCTTAATTCCATGGTAATTAGTACACCTCTGAACACCCAATTGTTCATGAACATTGGTACTAATATACCCCGCATAATGTTTCGAGCATCTTGTTTGACCGAAAAATGAGGTTGAAAAGCTTATTTACTCATACTATCACTATGTCTCCAAGGCCCCTCCACACCTCAATGGGGATACAATCAGGACCCTGACCTCAAATTCCTAGATTCATCACACAAAACACCCATTGGTCCTAACAAAGGAGTCATCCAGCTCAATGGTAGAGCTCTCATTCTCCCCATTGAACATCTTGTCGAAGTACTCTCGCTATCTATGCTTGATCTCCTTGTCCTGCACCAGAAGCCGATCTGCACCCATCTTGATGAATTTGACTTGGTTGACATCCCTCGTCTTCTTCTCCCGGATCTTCGCCAACTTATAGGTGTCCCTTTCGCCTTCCTTCGTGTTTAAACGCTAGTAGAGGTCCTCATACATCCAACCCCCTACTTCACTCATAGCTCGCTTTGCAGACTTATTTGTTACCTTGGACTTCTATATATTGTCTACCTCCTATCCAGGTGTAGGCGTATGAAATAGTCTTTCTTCTCCTTAATAGCCTTTTGGACATCATCGTTCCACTACTAGGTATCTTTAGCTTCATTTCTACTTCCCTTGGTAACCCAAACTGCTCTAAAGCCACCTCCTGAACACAAGTCGCCATCTTCATCCACATATTGTTTGCATCATCTCCTTCCTCCCAAGGGCCCTCCTTAGTAACCTCTCCTTGAAAGCCTGAGCTACCTCCTCCTTGAGCTTCACCACTTCATTCTAGCGACTTTGGCACGATTCTCGCTGGACATGAATACGAAAGTGGAAGTCAGCCACCACAAGCTTATGTTGAGAGACAACACTCTCCAGGCATCACTTTACAATCTGGGCAAGCACGACTGTCTTCTCTTCTTGAGAGGACGAAATCAATCTGGCTAACCACTACTAAAAAGCACTGGCTAGGATTCTCTTTCTAAAGAGGGTGTTAGTAACAATCATGTCATAGGCTAAACCGAAGCTTAAGACATCCTCTCCTTCATTCCTGCTATCATAACCAAAGCCCTCATGCACCCCTTCAAAACCTGTGTTAGATGTACCCACATGGCCATTGAGGTCTCCTCCTATGAAGAGCTTCTCGCCAATAGGTACACTCCTAACCATGTCCTCCAGGCCTTCCCAGAACTCCTTGGTGTTCTCATTGTGGCCTACTTGCGGGGCATATTCGTTGATAACATTGAGAACCAAGTCCACAATGACCAGCTTGACCAGGATACCCCGGTCCTGTTGCCTCTTGACGTCTACCACTCCATACTCGAGGCTCTTGTTGACCAACTCCCGTAGCTTACCCGTCAATGACCCAACGTTCGAGCTACCTATGTGAATCCTACTAGGCTCGGCTAGCTTCCTTACCGTTCACACTCGTCGATACAAATGTGAAGACCCTTGCTCATTTTTCACTAAATCCGGACGTTGATGTAGCGCGCCACTAAGGACGTGACGACCCGATCCTCACTCTCATCGTATCCACATCAAGATTCAGCGCGCGACCAAGGGGGTGACGACCTGATCCTTGTCCATTTAACACAACACCCGAGTTCCAATACGTCATGTTGCTAAGAGGGTTACGCCCCAACGGTTTTCTTCTGGGTTTCATCTCCATAAGAGTGGTTGAGTTTTGACGTTAGCTCACCAAGCCTATCACAACCCTCCTCCTTTACCCGGGCTTGGGACCAACTATGTTGAGACCAGATAAGCAGAGTTGGCCGGGTCCCCATCATTCATAGATTCAAATTTGGCTTGGCTAGTTTTTTTTTTGCCTCAGCCTCCAAATCTCGGCTTGAGCCGACACGATATGAGTCGAACCTGGTCTCCAACTCAAACAAAGCGCATATTAGAGCTCCTTGATACCAACATTCTCCCCGACCTCCTAACCGGCCCAACCCCCGATGTCTATCCCCTCTCGATCCCTCCACCACTCAGGCATAGGCACGTTCCCTTGCACTAGAGACCGTAGGGGCTACCGCGCTAGCGTCGGAGAAGACGACATGTACCGACAACTGCCCCCACTTCTCTTCCCTGAGGAGCTTGTCCCGTATTATGCTGAACTATTTGGTGTATTTTGGCTAAAAAACTTGTCCTAGGTTATGTTGAATTATTTGGTGTATTCAACTAGAAAAACTTGTCCTAGGTTATGTTGACTATTTGTAATCTCGCTCTATGCATGTGTGTTCTACATGAATGTAGTGCAACACTTGACCAAAATAGTTGATTAAGATGGACTTGCATACACACAATATTCAAACTTGGATTTTTATTCTGCCATAAATGGCTTTTGTAAATGTGCTGAAGATTTCCCAGAATGATGAGAGAAATAACTCCAACTGGTTGAACTTTTTCCAGATTTCTTTGCAAACTTGAATTTTTAAACAAAACTTGGCCGGATCTTACAAAACCGCCTAAACTTTAAAACAGATGGGGAAAATGGGCTCTAAATTTCCCAAAATTATGAGAGAAAATAACTCCAACCACTGGAATTTTTCCAGACTTTTTAGGACTTCAAAATTTCGAACCAAATTGGGTGAATCTTACAAAAAATTGTCCAACAATTAGAACAGCTAGGAAACAAGGGCTGAAATTTTCCCAGACTAATCACTGAATATGTATTGACTTTATGGAATTTTTCCTGATTTATTTGAAAACTTTGACATTTTGAAACAAATTTGGCTGAATCTTGCAAAAATTGTCCAAACTCTAAAACAGCTTGCCAAAGGGCTAAAACGTTTCCAGATTGATTATTGAATATGTATTGAATTAAATGAAATTTTCCAGACCATTTTGAACAATTTGTTTTTTGAATGAAATTTGGCTGAATCTCGAACTGTCCGGCCTTTAAAACGGCTAGGCAAAACGGGCTGCAAATTTGCCACATTTATCATTGGAGATGCATAGAATTACTGGATTTTTTTAAGGATTTTGCGTAACCAAAATTGGCCAATCTTATGAAAATTTTACAGATTTAAAAACGACTAAGCAAAATAGGCCGAAACATTCCCAAATTTATCATTAAAGATGTATTGAGTTACTGGAATTTTTTTCGATAATTTTGAAAACTTTGAATGTTTGAAACAAGTTTGGTCGAGTCTTACCATAAACTGTATAAACTTTAAACGGTTGGGCAAAATGGGCAAAAAATTTCCCAGGTTGATTATACAAGATGGACTGAATTACTGGCTTTTAAAGGTATTTTTGAATTTTTTTTAAAAAAATCAGTCAAGTTGGCTTAATCTTAGAAGAACTATACAGATTTTAAAAAAATCATTTTTCTGTGACTCCGAGGACCCACACGTCATGTTTATCATTAAGTGGCCAATTGGAGCAGTTGTGTGCTTTTTTGTTACTATACTTAGTCCTAGACTGGCGGGTATTAGTTAAAATCCCTATACTTGTAGTTTTGTATTACCTTAGTCCTAAATGTTGTGTATTTATTCAGTTTCTTTGAATATTTAATCAGGTTTGAATGTTATAACATTTTCTATAGGTTCGAGAGGTTCGTCCAGGGGCGAAATTCGACAAGGGAGACGCTGTCAAGTATCTCCTCCAGCAGCTCACCAACAAACATAGCTGGGACAGCTCTCGGATCTTACCAATCTATATTGGTGATGATAAGACCGATGAAGACGCTTTTAAGGTAAAAAACTTCAGAACACCATCTGAACAGTGAGACCTAATGGATTTAAAGCTTCATTTGGAAGAAGAAAAAAAATCTACTTTGTTGCATTCAGGTGCTTTCTGAGGAGGGTGGATTTGGGATCCGCGTCTGCAAGTGGCGCAAGAGGACTGCAGCTGAGTACTCTCTAAAGAACCCCAGTGAGGTAATGAATCTAGGCTCACGAGTATGCATGCAATCTTTTTAGCTGTATCCAACAAATTGAATGCTAAATAATTTTAATTGTTCTCAGGTGAAAGAGTTCCTAGAGAAGCTGGTGCGCTGGAGGAGAGAACAGGACCAAGTTTGAATTCCTTGGAAGTTGCAACAGCCCATTTGGAGCGGCGCAAATAAGTGAACGCCCAATTTTAGCGAAAGCGAACATAGGATGAAAGAAATAAAACCAAAACATTGCTGAAGCTGGTGATGGAGAAGTTGACTATATATTTTCTGTAGTAAGTACATACCTGGTGATGGAGTGACTATTTTTTCAAATCCTGCAACCAAATTGGAATGGGGCGTTACAAAGCGCCGTGGTCAGCAGCACCGTTGGCAGAGGGGCATTCGGAGTACTGGATTGCTTCATGCGAAGCAGGGGCGCATCTGACCGCCTTTTTTTTTTTTGGAGGAGGATATCGCACAAGGCCACAAGGGTGGTCAGAGGAGACCGGATGTAGGAAAGCGGGAGAGGACTTCGCCGGAGGGATCGACGGAGTTTTTAGGGGAAGGGAGAGAAACGCCGGATGGGGAGGGGGCGCCGCCGCCGCTATCTAGAGGAAACGATCCGTACGAGTCAACGAGGCGAACCGGTGAAAAAAACGTAGGAATGGCCGAGAGCTAATGGGCCGTCCAGAGGAAACGATCAGCGTTGCGGGCCGATTTCCAACCTTAGGGGCTGTTGGGCTCTCGATCCGTTTGGAAGTAATTTTCCTAGGAGCATCTTTTATTTTCCTCTCCTCCCTCTCTCTCCGTGCCAAGCGGTCAGCGGCGTCCCTCTTCCTCCCGAGCGACACGGCGACACGCTCTGCCCGGTCCGCCGCAAGTTGGACTCCTCCGCCGCCGCAACGCCCACCTCTCTCCGACGCACCGCATCAGATTGAGGTAGGCCTGGCCTTCCTCGGTTTCTCCGTCGGCCGTCGCCCTCCCTTCGCGTGTGGATGCGCGCGCGTCCACTGCCCCTGCCCAACCTAGGGTTAAGACTTAAGAGTAGCCTGTTATTGCGTATATATTGCGTATTGACTCTGTTATTTCGTCCTCTCATTATCTCATGTATTATCTACCGACCCAATTTGCCTTAGCAGCTAGGGTTGAATATCCATTGGCTCCTCCAGCTCACGCATTACAATTGGTTATTAAATTGGAGTGCCCTGCTTGTCATCATTGGGAGTTGGCAGGGTGGCACCCAGCAAGTAGAAGCAAGTTATTTGAAACAAAAAAGGTCTGAAGAAAATCATTGTGCTACATTGGTGGCAGTAGTATTACATGCTTAGTTAACAGATTGATGACCTAGAGGCTAGAGCTAGGGAAGAGCAAGCCTCAGATCTGATTGAGCTGCTAGTTATTTCTCCTTTTTTGTCTCTAATTGATGACCGAGAGGGCAAAGCATCGTATTTCTTTAGGATAGGACTACTCAAATCGTTGGCCCATTTACTTGCTTATCGGATGAATTTTGAGTTAAGGGTACCCTCCCCAAACCCCAAGCCTCACATCAAGTCTGCCTCTGCATGACTGCTTCAATTTGGGGATTCCTTCATCAACCTTGATGCTGATTTTGCTGCAGCACTATCTCCTGTTTGCACCTTGCATTGCATCTGTCATATCAGCCACACCTGAAACTGCATCTTGATCACATGTCCCAGGCTCGCCCACAGCTGCAACAAATTCCTCAAACACTTGCATATATTATCTCCTGCCAAATTATTCTGCTTTTTATGAGCTGAAATCACTGTATCAGGAGTGAATATTGGATCCATCTCCTATGCTCATTTGAATGTGCTTTACTGTAAGAGCTCAGAGAATGAGCATAGGAGATGGATCCAATACTGGATACTGGGTCCATCTTAAATAGTTGTTAGAAATTATCTGTCACGTGTCCAGATTGCAAATGTTGTACAGTATAGCACATTCAATTGCCATGTAGTGAGATGTCAAGTTGTCTTGTAGAAAAAGTACTTTCTGACAACAAAGTCACATGATTGCTAATTTAGAAACTGCCGGCCATGGCAAGTTAACACCATTTGTGTTTGGACGGTAGTTTGAGACGGTAAGAGCTCAACTACCAATTCATTTCTTGAGTGAAACTACCAATTGGTTGACCCAGTTGAGTCATACTATTTCTCTTTGAAGGGTTCTTTATTGTTTTTCCTATATGAATTATTGTTTTTTCAAAAAACTCTGTTCAAACTTTTACACTTCTCGGTTCGAAAAATTGTACCTAATGTTGGATCTGAATATAAATAGGGCCAGCCGAGCTCTCAGACATGTCTGGACGTGAGGTTCGTGAGTACACTAACCTCAGCGACCCTAAAGGTTAGTGATTTCATCATTCTCCAGTCCCAGTGTGGACAAGTGGTTCTTCTCCTTTTTGGTTTATTGGACATTTTCTTAAATCAAATCATCACCTTTGGGGTTATGCATATGCAGATAGAAAGTATGGGAAGGGGAAGGACAAGATCGACGATGAGGATGTCACCTTCCAGCGCATGGTAGCAAAGGTTAACCGGAATGCTCTTGCAAAAATAATTCTGATTAAATTGTGAATAAATTGAGTTATAATTACTTAGTAGCATTGTCCTGGTAGGTATCTTATTTTTAGGAAATTAGTTTAGCTATCAAAATCTAAGTTACATTATCGATTCTCACATTCGAATATTGGATACTTTGAAATGAGGGTCATGGAAAGAAAGAGGTCTGTTTGAGTTTTGACATGGTATTGTGCTTGTACAGATATAGATAAGTGCAGAAGGCCTTTGATATGTTTGTACCAATGAGCTTAAATTCAGGGAATTTACTTTGGATTGTGAGAAATCATTCAACGTGATCAGGAAAAAGATCAAGGCTGTCTTAGGTTTAGGTAGCATACATTATCTCCTCTTATCAGTGTTGTGTTCGGGACAGCATTTAACTTGCTGGCAGTTGTGGGCTTGTGGCCATGAGATTACTCGCTCTTCTTGAAAAATTGATCCCATACTCAGTATGCCTGCAATAGGCATTGATTTACGATGTTCTGATAACATGCCCTGACAGGGATTTTGGCTTTCTACTGGGCGGTTGATGCCAACAGATGCAGGATGTTGCTGGTGAGCGGGGAGGCTACCTTCATGGGCGAGGAGGTATTCCATGCTTCTTTAATGAAGAATTCATGCTGGCTCCTTGTTAACCTTGTTTACTTCGATGTTGTTCAGCATTGGACAGTGATGATTTGCTTTACCTTAAAGAGCAAATGGAGGCTGAGGAAGATGCAGAGCGTCTCCTCCGTCGTACAGAGAAGCGGGCATTTGCTGCCTTTAAGATATCCTCTCTTGCATGATACATTATAGCATCTCCCACACCTTTTACAAGATAATATTTAGTATAACCCAAGCGTTCTTGCTATGCATGCATGCTATTTTCCACATCTATTATTTGATTTTCTTGTCATTGGTCATGCAGTTGCAGCACAATATTCACATGCCTAGGGGTAGTTTCACATCTTATCGCAGCTTGCAGCGTTCCACATTTCGATAACTCTGTCAGTTTGTTTGTTTGATTTCTTTAACTCTGGCATTACCAAGCAGCAGTTCTAGCTGATTCTGCACCTCCTATTCCCGCGGCTCTTCGGGTCGAGCCTAGACCCAAAAGTGATATAAGGTAAGCCGTGCGCGACAAAGACTCTGTTTCCATCAATGATACTTTTGCCTTCTGATTTGGCACATACCTTGTTATGGGCAGGCAACGTGATCTCTTGAAGAAGATTGTCGAGATCAAACCAAAGCGAGCAAAAGTCAGCAGCCCTCGACAAACAGCAGAGGGTGATAGACCTAAGCAGGAACAAGAAGATTCTATGAGGAAAATGTCTACGCATGAAGGTGAAAATGAACTGTCTCAAGGGTCTGTCATCTTTGTGCAACCTCTGTCAAAACCAGGTGATCCAGCGGAGGCCAAGTCGCAGAATGCAGCTGTAAGCTTACTTGGTTTAGCGTATGAGAGTTCGGACGAGGAATAGTTTGTGGCGTGAAGAAATTGTTGTAGACTCCGTGTTGAAGTTTTTCTGTTCTCTTGCTAGACTGTGTTGTATCATCAGAAGGATAAAGAACTTATGCCGGCACTGATTAGGTGTCACTGCTGGAAATCAAGCCTGAGTTACTTATTGGGTAGACTATATTCTTGCAGAACTATATATGTGATTGCTAATGCTAATGTATATAGGCCCTGTTTGGATACTTTAACTTAGCTAGAGGTTAGAGTTTGTTTCTAGCTCATGACTAACCCTGAACTAATTCTAGCCAAAGAGGTGTTTGGACGATAGGGTTAGATTGACAATAAATGCACTAGGAGAACAAGCTCCTATTAGCACCTCTTGGGTGGGATAGTTTTTTTTGGATGGGTTAGATGCAACTAGCTCAAACTATCCCTCATGTTTGGATACTTTAGGGCTAGTTGAGCCCAAACTAGCTCTAACCCATTGATCCAAACATGGCCATAAAAGTAAGTGAAATCTCAAATAATAGAAAAACTAAATTTACTAGCTCCTTTATTTAAGAAAAAATATATTCACCGTAGCAAATGGTATCAGGTTGAAGAGGCTTTATAAACTCGTTATCTACTTGAATGGTCAGGAACATTTGGGTTCACTAAACTCGGTGCTTTTATCTCCATTACTGTACTATACTACTCCCTCCGTTCCTAAATATTTGTCTTTCTAGATATTTTAACAAGTGACTACATACGGAGTAAAATGAGTGAATCTACACTCTAAAATATGTCTATATACATCCGTATGTAGTAGTCTATTTGAAACCTCTAGAAAGACAAATATTTAGGAACGGAGGGAGTACTAATATACAGTTTATACCACATGCCCATACTAATAATACTAATAAAAGCATGAGTCCTGAAACTAATCAAACTTGTGCAGGTGTATTTGTTCGGGTGTCATATTGATTGATACTATGGAGAAGATTTCTACTAAAGACTTGAATCTAATTTTTAGTTTCAGAATTTATCTTGTACTCCGTTCACTATTATAAAATGTTCTGACTTTTTTCTAAATTGGATGTATGTAGACATGTTTTTGTGTGTTTGTTTACTTATTTCACTTTGTGTCTAGTCCATATTAAAATATCCAAAACATCTTACAATGGTGAATGGAGGGAGTATTTCTTATTTCTAGAATACTTTATCATGTTTCATTTGCCCCACCTCTTGCATTTGCTCCCCACTGATTTTTTATGAACTGGCATAGTTAACATATTTTCCTTTTTGCGTAGAGCAATCACATCCGTATAAAAATGGAACTCATCGACCCTGGGTCTAGAAAGGATATGGAGAGAGTCAGCTGGCCCATCGAAGTTAGTTGCAAGAAAGGTCATTCTACCCTATATTGTTGGTCAAGTGAGCTTTGCCACCATTAATAAGAACGAATTGGGTTTGCCATATAAGAGGGGCACTTTCGATAAAAAAGAGGAGCCTAGGGCTTCGCTTGCAATGGTACAGAGGGGGTTTAAGCACACTAGGTGGAATGGTGGGTTGAGTCATATCTTCCTCTCTAGTCACTTGGTGTTAGGCATGCAGGCGGACGGCCCCGCGAAGCATGCGAGCGTCCGCAACCATCAATTTTGCATTAGCACGGTTATTAAAGTGGCAGTGATTAGCTTAGTTTTCACTTCGATTGGTAACTCATATCCACATGACATGCCAGGAACGATGATGTTATTTTAGTTCAGAGTGGCATAATCATCAAAGTGTGAGTTTTCACTTTCATCCGTGCAAATTACTGGGTAAGATAGAAGCATGCCAACGAAAAGCTTTAAGGTGCCTCTAGGTGATTGAAAAGATGTTTTTTGCTCGTAGACATGTAAAATTGAGATGTGTATAATATTGCCTAAATATTTGGTTCATCAAGGTCGCCACACTCTGGAGTTCTCCATCGATACCGTTCTTTGTTTATTTGTGCCTAAATCAAACTATAATCACTCGAGAGAATGTAGGGTTTTCAAGATGAATACTTTGTTTATTTGTGTCTAAATCAAACTGCAATCACTCGAGAGAATGTAGGGTCTTCAAGATGAACTAGCAAATATGCCCGTGCGCTGCAATGGGAGACAAAATATTATGGCTAACCAAATAAGTATGACTCAATATCCTGATATATAAGTGTACTCTATTTTAACATAGTGGTTCACCATGTTACCATTTTGTTTCTCACCCTAGCCGATGATGGTCGCGATGTTCACGTGATCACAATGCACTCGACATGGTAAATCCCAAGGCTATGAGTTTGCCGGTGCATGCCACACTTGTCTCATTGACCACGAACTACTCCCAACGCCAAGACATATAAAGACTTTTGAATAACTAATCAAATCCTAGACATAAAATACTTTTGAATCAGTGAACAGTTTTTCCAATCGACAAACATTTTTTTGAAATTTTTGATTTTCTCAAAAAAAATCATGAACATTAGTTCTGTTTACAATTTTTTTGAATGTATGAACCGGTTTCGTATTCATTAACATTTTTTGACTCAACAATTTTTTTTAATCGATGATTTTTTTAAAATTGGGGAAGAAAATTTAAAAACATATTATTATTATTGTGAACATTTTCTAAAATTTCATGGAATTTTCTTTTCAGATTCCCGAATATGTTTTGAATACATGATCATTTTTTCAAAATCATGAACTTGATTTTATTTCCTGACCATTTTTTACAAATTGTGATATTTTTATAATTTTGCGAACAGTTTTGCAAAACCACCAACATTTTTTGAATCTAAAAACTTTTTATGATTTTCTAAACATTTTTGAATTCACATATATTTTATGATTTTTTATCAAACTCGCAACTTTTAGAATATTAAAATCCGGAATTAATTTAAAAAAGAAAGAAACAGAATGAGAAAAGGAATGACAAAAAGGTAAAATGAAAATAAACAGGGGAGTGAAGCCCCGCACATGGGCCGGCCCATGAACGCATAGCGTGAGAAATGAAAGATAAAAATTGTGGAAGTTGGGGATCAAACCCTGGTCTCGCCGCTAAAAGAGCGATCGGCCAACCACTCTGATACTCATTGTTCTCTCATCTCTACTCGTTGCGCCCCTATAAAACAACGAAGGAGGCGTCGATTTTTGGTCTGAAAAATCGAATCGTTTTTCCACTTACGGTGCGACCGAAGAATTTTTTTTTCTCATGTGAGAGGGCTTCCCCAAGGATCCATTATCACCTCTATTGTTTGCAATCGTCATGGATGTGCTAACCTCCTTCATTATCAATGGTGAAAAGGTGGATGTCCTCAGTTCATCGCGGGAGTCTCACGGCTGCAGATAATGTCTATTTATGCTAATGATGATTGTTATTCGTTAAGCCATTTGTCCAAGACTTATGCTTTGTCATGGAGGTATTTAGTGTCTTCGGGAGGCCTCGGGATTACACATAAACTATGCAAAATCCTTTGCTATTATGATTAGGAATACACACGAGGAAAGGGACGGTGTGGAAGCTGCTCCGCCTTGGAGAATTGCTAGCTTTGCAAAAATCTTGGGCTTTAGTTGGCACTTGGCCAGCTTTACTAAAGATGAATGGCAGTTGATTATTGGCAAGGTCATCAAGCAGCTTCTGGGATAGCAGAAATGCTTGAGGTGGGAGGCTTATCTTGGTTAAGTTAGTCATCTCTGCTCGACCTATGCATCACCTGTTGGTCTTGGATGCCCCCAAGTGGGCACTTGAGGCTGTAGATAAAAGTCATAGAGCATTCGTTTTGGAGGGATCCGAGAAAATCCATGGAGGTTAGTGCCTAGTCACCTGGCAGAATGTTTGCATGCCTAAGTGCTTCGGTGGATTGGAAGTGTTTGATTTACAGAAGCAGGCGGTGGCGCTTAGGTTTCGTTGGGAGTGGTTGCGGCGTATAGATTCCTCTAAACCTTGGCAAGTTCTGTTGATGGTATTTGACCCGATGAATTTGAATCGATGGGTGACTGACATTGCTGGAGGTTTGTCTATGGCTGGGCTGGTGCAATATGTGCACCTTTGGGAAGCGGTTGTCGTAGTTCGGTTTCAACATAACTTCGACAATGAGGCAATCTGAAATTGGAGCAAGGCCTTAATATACACGTCATTGTCTACCCATCGAATGTTGTGAGAAGGAGCTCTTAGATTCTCGTGCACAAAGGCTCCATGGAAAAGTTGGGCGCCTCTTAATTGCAAGGTTTTTCTATGGTTAGCCACTGTAATATCGCATATGGACGTTAGATCTGGATTTGAGGAGGGGGCTGGTGAACGAATGTTACCTATATATGATCAAGATGAGACACTACTGACTACTCCCTTTGTTCCCAAATATAAGTCTTGTTGAAATCTCTAAAAAGACTTATATTTAGGAACGAAGGGAGTATATTTGATGCAGTACATCTTCTCTAGACAGGTACTCCCTCCGTTCGAAAATACTTGTCCTAGATATCCATTTCTAGGACAAGTATTTTCGAACGGAGGGAGTATGTCATCAAATGTCTTCATGAATTGCAGGCGCTGCTTCTGGTGGCCATCTCTACTCCGGATGGACAACCTTGATTCTTGTTGGACTAAGTCCATGACCCTATTGCCAAACTACGTTGCGTGGATACTTCAGAAAGCGCGCGTATCCTGCCGGATACTGCCCCGATACGTCTCGATACGTATCCCGTAAGTATCCCTCGATTTTTTGGTTTAAAGAAAAGAAAATAATGTTTGATACTCCTAGGATACTTCCGTGATACGTATTGTATACCTGAAATCCCTCGGTTGACGTGAAATCTCGTCAGTAGTAAAGGCGCACCTTTTGAAGATTCCCAACATGAGTGTCAGTTCATGTCAAAACATGTCTCTTAATGTTCTAGTTCAATTGAAAGGTGAGCAAGAGAGAGTCGATGCACTGATTGGAACAGAAAACTTAGGGAAACCTCACTACCAATTAATGGAAGTGGATCAAGTGTACCAAAAGAAAGGGGGTAATCATATTGAGTCATGCTT